GGGCGCTCGGCCTGTGGTGGGGTCGCGGCGCTGTGTTTGTTTCCGGCTTATCGCGGCGGCCCAGGCGCCCTCGCTGCCTGAGGCCGCTGCGCGCTCCCGCCTTTTTCCTCCCGCCGCTCGCCTCAGCCCGCGGGCGTTGCACCGCAGAGGATTTGGGGTGCGAGGCGGCGAGCGAGAGAGATGAGCCACGGAGAAAACAATACGCTGGTGTGGTGGTCGCGAGAGGCCAGTAGCCCACGCTGAAGACGCGACGAGTGGCCACCAGCCGCGAGCTAGCGTGGCGCCGGCAGCGGGGTCCCCTTTGTCCTGGCGGTGCCTGGGGCCGCTCAGAAACCGGCCCGAACCCGCCGGGGTTACTGCTCAGGGGAACCCCGCCGAGAAAGAGAAAATTCCCAGTACCGCGGTGGTGGAGCGGGAAAGTTGGGCTCCCCCACCGCCCGAGATACCCGCGACCCGAATTCCACAGTCCGGCTTCGTTAGCGTCTCAAATGCCCCATCTTCACTGCGCTGAACCCAAATCTGTAGGAACCCCGACCTTCCCCCCTCCACGTCCCGGGCTCCCTTCCCTCGCGGTGAGGGCTTGAAGCAATCAGCTCCAGTTCCCTCTTCTGCAGCTCGCGGCTGGCCCGCAGGGAGCTCCACACCCCGCGGGGCCAATACTGGCAGCTTTGTGTCAAGTGCAGGGACCAGCAGCAGGCCTCTCGTGGACAGCTCAGGTGCAGGCGTGTCAGTAGAAAGCAGAAACCCAGGTTCCCCCCAAAAAAGGGGGGTGCCCTGAGCCTTGTCCCTTGCTCACATCCAGTATGCATGAGCTCACCTGGCCGCCCCTGAGAACAGGCTGTCCTGGGCGAGGATGTCAGCCACAGGCTTGCACGCTGCCCAGGCTCCCAGCAGTTTGGCAGGCCAAACCCTAAGCCTGGTCGTTGCAGACCTTCAGGTACCACAAAGCCTTTGATGTGCAGCAAATGACACCGAGATGAAAATGCTGCATCGAGTCCCCTGAGACCGGAAATACCAAGTCACTCACCCTAGTAGCCAGACAGTGTGGCCTTGCTCTTTGCTCACATCTTCTACCCAGAACCAAGACTCCGGGTCATTTCCATGGAGGAAGCCCCACTTTGAAAAAGAATTTGTTTCATGGGTCGGGTTTATAAAGTCTCGCTATCACAAGATGAAGTCAAAAGACTGGAAATGACTAGAGTCGGCTTTGTAATCAGTATCTTGGTTACCTTTCACTGACCGCGTTGCCATCAGAAAATCGAAGCAGTTTCTAGTCAGTGGAGAGAGTCCTCTTGCGGAAAGACGGCTGAGTGTCTAGGCTACATTCTCAATGTAATAAAGTAAAAATGAAAACAACGA